TTAGGCACTTAAAAGATGTCATTAAGAATTAGGGTTATAGCATCTTAGATGGTGAATTCATTCATATGAGGTGTATGGCACATACTTTGAATCTAGTTGTTGTTGATAGATTAAAATATTTTAATCCTTCAATCGTTCATATTCGATCGGCCGTTAGGTTTGTGAGGCAATCTCCGACTAGGTTGAAAAGATTTAAAGAATGCATTCAACTTGAGAAAATTAATTCTAGGAGTTTGTTACAACTAGATGTTGTTACTAGGTGGAATTCAACATACTTGATGTTAGAGTCGACTCTAAAGTTTGAGAGAGCTTTTAAGAGATATGAGCAAATTAATCTTTTATAGGAGTGAATTTGATGTAGATCATGGTGATAATGTTGTTGGGCCACCTAATGTTGATGATTGGAAGTCTTGTAAGAAGTTGGTAGGCATGTAGAAAATTTTTTACAATCTCACTTTAAGTATTTCGGGTTCTTTGTATGTGACTTCAAATATTTATTTTGAAGAGATTTATGCTCTCGAACATGTTTCAAAAAAATGGCAATGAAGTGGGGATTTAGATGATTTTACGTTGACCAATAAAATGAAAGAAAAGTTTGAGAAGTATTGGGGGATATTAAGAAAATAAATAAGTTGATTTATATTGCGACAATACTTGATCCTAGGCATAAACTTGTATTTATTGAATTTTCAATCAATGAATTGTATGGTGATTTGAAGGGTCAAAGAATTTCAAATATTATCAAGGAATCTATGTATGTTATGTATGATTTCTATTATCGTTCGTCAACATCTCAAGGTGAAATTGGCCAAGGTAGTGGGAGTCGAGAAATAGATGTGGGTTGTGCAAATGAAGAAATGATTGATGAAGAAGAAATTAGAATAAAAAGGGAGATAAATATGTGTTTTGAAAAATACAAGTGTGATATTGGAGGTGGAGGAAATAAAACGGAGTTGGATAAATATCTTAGTGAAGGTGCTAAAAATAACGAGTGTTGATTTTAAGATTTTAGAATGGTGGAAAACCAATTCTCCTTGGTTTCCCATCATTTCACAAATGGCTAGGGATATATTGGCAGTTCATGTTTCTATTGTTTCCTCGGAATCAACATTTAGCATTGGAGGAAGCGTTCTTGACTACTTTAGGAGTTCTTTGACTCCTAGCTTAGTGAAATCTCTTATATGTGCTCAAGATTGGATTAAAAATTCATCGACACCAACTATTATTTAAGAAAATTTGCAAGATGTTGAGAAAATGCAAGATGGTAATTTCTATAACTTTTACCTTTTCATTTGTTATTTCTTTCCTTTATATTAATATTAAAAGTTTAATTTTTTTATCTTATATTTTCGTAGTTACCACTTGCCACTACCTCTATTACAAATGGTTGAATCTTGATGGGTTGATGACTTGATGGTGTTTTGGTGTGATGAATGGTATGTGTAAGTTACTAAGTTTCTACTTTCTAAGTTTGATTTTTTTTATTTATGTTGTTTGTGCAAGTTTAGTCGGTAATTGGGAATTGTAAATTTTCATTTTCATTGAACTAGAGAAGAGATTCATAGTAGGTAGTAGCCTATCGCCTCGGTGCTTCGTGCCCACCGGCGGTGGCCGCATGGGCCTACCGCCTACCGCCAATAGCCTATCGCCGGTAGGCCTATTGGCCACCGCCAGCGAGCCTACTATCGTGGCCGGTAGGCCTACTCAATAGGCCTACGGCGGTGGGCGGTAGGCTTACCGCCTTGGTGTCTCCCGCCTATCGCCTTTGATTTTCGTAGCATGTTAATATCCTCTTTTAGGAGCATTGAGTGTTTGTTGGGATTTCATTCTATTGCATATCCCGAAGGAGTGAAGGTATTACAAATGCACGTAAATCATTTGTTTTAGGACGGGAAGAGAGCTCGTGTCTCGTCCTCTTTGTTGAGAAATGAGAACGGACATTCTACCATGCTTTTGTTGTTTAATGTCGATTGTATTGTATATGGATCTTTGTTTCATCAATAATTATTTTGCATGACTTATTTCCTTTTCCGATATATGAATGTTAAACATGTTGAATTATTGGGTGTTTAAATTTGACTTTAATTGTGATTTTTTTTTTGGTGTTGAATTCTTTTTAGAAAAGAAAGTGGTTACTTGTTAGCTTGGCATTGTTAATTACTCGAGCTTAGGCAAAGAATAAATAAATGGAAGTTTTGGGAGAACTATCTAAAGTCCGAAATGGAGAAGTAATGAAAAAGTTTGGTTAAACCGAATTATTTCAAAACCGAACCGAAATAATTTGGTTACAAACCGAATTAATTTTGGTTCGGTTTTGATTTTTATTTTTCCTACTTTGGTTAACCGAAAACCGAACTGTTTAATCGAATGCTCACTCCTAATAACAAGTCCCGATCAACATGAGGTAAATACACGATCAACAGGAGGTAAACACAAACAGTAAACTTTCATTTTTATGCTAGTATTTTTTGTTAGTTGTTATTAGTTTTTTTGTCCACGCTATGTTGCGAGTTGAATAAAATATATAAAATCATTTAGAAAAATTATTTCGGTTTGATTGTACGTTTTATGGGGTGAATCTATAAAAATATATGAAATCAAAGGTATAAAAAATTATTTAATCAAAAATTTCGTACTTAACTATTTCTTATTTGTGTTTTTCATAATTTTTCTTTTAAAAAAAGGATTCATCCTTGTTAATCCATGAATTATTAACTAAAAAGAAAATTAAATATATTTTTTTAAAAGTTTTAGTATTTTATAAGATTGTGTTAAAAAACATAAATAACAATTATTAAAAGCTTACATATTATTGAACAAATATTTTTTTTAATTTAATGTTGGCGAGAATATCAGTTTTTTAAAAAATGTGAACTTAATTTCTATATATTTATTTACAAAAGAATAAATAATATTAAAATAAAAAACTATATCAATTTGAATAATTGAGTGGTTAAGCCAAAACATTATTTTAATTACTTAATTTAAAATAAGTTAATTTTAAAGTATTCAAAAACAAACAAATAAATAGTAAATGCTTAGTGTAGTAGAAGTTCCACGATTGATTTCTAAAAAAATAACGATTCAATATTTTTTTATACATCATAACTATATTAAGCGAGTTTAGAGTTTTCAGTCTAAAAAAAAAAAAAATTAACTTGCAAAAAATATATTAACTAAATTTGAAGTTAATAGACTAAAATAAAAATTATTACAAATCTGATTTCAAATAATTTTGATTATATAACGAAGAAACAAATTAATAAAACATGTGAATTCTTTTTTTTCCTCCTCCTTAAACATTTTTTTTTATTTCTATGTTATGCATGGCTAGCCCTTGAATATAGGCCTCATACACAGAGCAACCATCTTCTTTTTATTTTTCACATTTGACTTTCAACTATTAATTAATTAATTTGAGTTTTTGTTCTTAAAAAAATTGAAAAACATTATTTGAAATACATTTTTGATCTAAAAATGTATTTTAGAAAAATTATATATATTAATCATGCTACTATAATTTAAAAGTTATCTAAATCTATTTTTCAAAAGAAAAAATAATCATGTTCTAAAATTTTATTCCAAAATCTAAACACATAGAAAAATAAATCAAAACTGTTAGTCAATATAATTTTAAATTAATCAAATGAGAATTTAAAAAAAATGACATAAAGTAGTAAATTTTAAATAATAAAAATAATTAACAAAAAATACTAAAACAAAATGAGACGAAATCATAATATAATCAAAGTTTGAATTTTTTTTTAAAAAGAAGAGAGAATTTAAAAAAAAATTGACAAATTAATGTAGTAAATTTTAAATAATAAAAAAATTGAGAAAAAATTATTTGAAAAACCTTTTTAATCTAAAAATATATTTCATACAAATTATATATATTAATCATGCCACTATAATTTAAAAAGTATGTAAATCTATTTTTCAAAAAAAAAAAATCATGTTCTAAAAATTTATTTCAAAATCTATACATATAGAAAAATAAATCAAAACTCATCAAGTAAAAATAATTTTAAATTAATTAGAAAAGAATTAAAAAAAAAACAATAAATTAAAGTAGTAAATTTGAAATAATAAAAATAATTAACGAAAAACACTAAAACAAAATGAGAAAAAATCACAATATAATCAAAGTTTGAAACTGAAAAAAAAAGAGAATTTAAAAAAAATGACAAATTAAAATAGTACATTTTAAATAATAAAAATAATTAACAAATTAAAGTTTAAAATTGAAAAAAAAAGACAATTTAAAAAATAAAAAATTTAAATAGTAAATTTTAAATAATAAAAATAATTAATAAAAAACACTAAATAAAATGAGACCAAATTACAATATAATTAAAGTTTGAAATTGAAAAAAAAGTTTAAAAAATTTGAGGATCAAAGTGTTAAAAAAATGATATAAATAATAAAAGGAATAATAATTTATAAATATATAAATAATATTTTAAATAGTAAAATAAATAGTAAAATAATGTTTTATTTTAGTTTGTTTTATAATTATAATTGCTCGTAGTTCTTTTTTTTTTTTTTTTTTTCGGTACCAAAAGGAGATATGGAGCCTAATGGTTAGGTTGAAAGATAAAAAGTAACAGGCCTGGAGTCTGGAGATGAACCCAGCCCACAGCCACAGGCCTTCCGTTCAGTTTGGAATAATCAGAAGCTTAAAAAGCCCTCGAGGAGTCGATACTCGGACCGTACGGCTTCCGAACTGACAAACAATGCCTTTATTTTATTCTTATTTATTATATGATTACTCATTAATTGCCCAAGCAGAATCACTGTTTCTCCCTCCCTCTCTTCGCCAATCATCCATAGTAAGTCAATACACACTGTTCTCGTTTCGTCATTCACTCCTTTAAAAGATCCACTCTTTTCAGTTTTATGATCCTTCACTTTCCCTAAGAAAGATAAAAAGACTCTCTCTCTTTCTCGCTGCTTATGTTTGCGCTGCTTTTCAATTAAGAGAAACACCAAACATCACAATGGCAGGCATAGCTATAGTATTGGATCTGTTGAGGAAAAACCCATCTTCTTATACAACCCACTTCTCCGCCTCAGCCGCCGTGGCCGCCGCCTCGGTCTCTATCGCTGCCTCTGCCACCCCTTTTGCTTCTAGGTTCTTATTCGGGTATTTTCTCTTTTTCTTTAATCTCTATGCTTCATTTTAATATTTCTATACGTCATCCTAATTTGGGCTGCTTTCATATGGATTCAAGTATCGGGTGGTTACATCTCTTGATTTTACTGCTTTGTTAGACTTTATGTATTCTTTGCTTGTCCAGTTGAGGATGTTATTGGTTTTTTTTTTTTTTTAGCTGAATTCTGGTTTGATGGAGATATTTTTAATAGTTGGAGACTAGGATTCCAATGTGTTGCAATTTTTAACTCTTGACAAAAAAAAAAAAAAAAAACGTATATTAATGTCTCAGTTGTCTTTACTGAGATGAACAAGGTTGTTTCAGAACGAGTTATTCTGAGTTTCTTAATTGATTCGACACTTATTATACTCTTAAAATTATTCAAAATTAGTCTAGGACGAACAAAGTCAAATCACGAGCCTATTAATGAAGCAACGAGTGGTACCGTAGAGAAGCAGCCATAAACTAGAGACTAGATAGTCTTGGAATTCACCCCTATAGTTAGTAGATTGTATTATATGATTACTGTACACATTCCCTATCAGTTGGTGAAATAAATTTAGTGAAATAGTTAGGATCTATTATGTTATTCTTTTAGAGCTGTTGGCGTAGTGCTTGTTTCTAATTGGGAAAGTTTGGGATCTCGATAGTTGGTGCATGAACCATTGCAAATTGTGGAATCTTTTGGAGTCATGAACAAGCTTATAAATTGGCATTCTGCGAGTTGGACACTTGTTCTGTGGATTTTGTTTACTGCTTAAGTAATGCATCAGCTATCGTCTTTTTTTTGTCCCCTTGAATCAATGGAACTGTTCATGTATTAAAATTTTAGCTTAAAAAATATATATATTTCTCAGTAATTCAAACATATTCCAATGCATGGGTGGCATCCTTTTCATGTGGAAGAAAAGGGGACATAAGTTAAGGGAATTGAAGGTTGGACGTGCACACTTGCTTTTGTTGTCAAGAGATTGTTTTAAAGCTATAGCAGTGAGCTCTGCCAGTAATGATTTGATATTATTCTCTTACATTTCTCATTTGGAACCGCAATTTTTTTTTGCCTGATTTGTAAAGTTATGTGTCTCTTGTTGGGCTTTTTTTTTTTTTTTTTTTTTACCTCACATTGACGTTCTTAATGGTCATGCCAGTCAACCCAGGATACCAGTTGCTTACTGTGATGCTGGTGCAGCATTGTCTGATGATTACTTTTCTAATGTACGAAGAGCATCTGCAGATATTTTTCAGCATGACTCTCTGAAATACACAACCAAGGAGTATTATATTGAGTTGAAACCTCTGTTTTCAGCTTTTGAATGGAAGCAACTTGCCATGACATCCTTGAGGTCATTTTTGATGTTCTATTTACCTCTTCTAGAGCCTAGTACAAACACGGAAGAGGATGATGATGACTTCCTTCAGGATGCTCATGATGTGCAACGTGTAGATTTGGTTGTTCCCTTCCAAAAATCAGTGAAGCAAATTATTCGTGAGGTGAGTTGTATATTTTTGTTGATCTTCCCACCATATGTATTATAGTACGTTTTGTACTGCAAAATTCCCATCACTAAGTCCTGTAACTCCTTTATATACAGTTCTTTCATTGTAAATCTAGGATTATAAGCATGTGCTTGTCAGCAGTAGTGGTTTCAATACCAAATTTTAATATCTTGCTTTAGTCTTGCAAAATAAAAGCACTGTTTATTCAAGACTTTTATAAATTAAGTTGTTTCATGAGTTCGTCAGTTGTTGCTAATTTTAGTACATCATACACTTTTGTGTATGTATTGTTGCAAATTTTACCATAAAGAAAGGTTTTTCATAATAGCATGTTTTTTCAACATTTTCTTGTCCTTTGTTTAGTTGCTGCATCATGTTCTAGTATGTGGAGCAGCCAGCTGACACTTCATACAGGATTTAACAGAACTGTTTCCTTTTATGAGTTATTCTAAATCAAAGTAGTCTTATCTTAAATGACCATTACAAAATTGAATGAAGTTCTCTACTAATTTGGCACTGAGCTTAGTTAGACTGACTGAGTTGAGAAATCTGACCTTGAAATGATAATAGTTTTCTGAATGGGTGGTGACGATTTGTTAGCCGTCCACAGTTATTCACATTCATGAATTCATATGTAGATGTTTGATATTTTTACTTTTGCTACTTTAAGGACTGAGCTTGTTGCTCTACCCTGAAATGAAAAATTGCCTTATCATTATAATGCTTGTTTTATGAGCACATAAATGTAGTCATTTTGAACTTGTAGCTCCACCTTGTAATAATTAGCATGTTATTGTGCTTTGCGAAAGAAGGGCCAAAATCATGATGGGACTGCATTGGCAGGGTGGCCACACGAAAATCCCATATGGGCTTATGTCATTTTTGCAGAATTATGGATGCTTTCTTAGTTTTTACTACTTCTTGAAGAGCTATAATGAACAGGGGCCTTTGCCTTTTCCTCCTCAGTTATTCTAAATGCTCTTATGGCTGTATTATGGCTTCATAATAATAAAAACTTGTCAAATGTGGATAGCATTCTAATATTGCTTCCTCAATATTTAAATTGTTTACTGGTGTTGCTCTGGCAGTTAAACAAAGGGATAGCGGAGTTTAGGTATTTTCCTTCTGGCTTAATTTTTTCACCCAGTCATCATTCTTCATTAAGCCTGCATTACTAGAGTTAACAAGACTGGTGGTCTGGAGGAATACGAATAATCATTACCCTTGTTTTCCCTTCTTCTCTTCTGGAATCTTTCCTTTTCTCTTTAACATTTAGTTTAATCACATTGATAATGCTATACAAATATTATTTGGTAGCTGCCTTTAGAAAACAATGTATGGAGTCTTTGACAGCAATGTCAAAATGCCTTGCACAACTGATTGGGTGGAGCAACACTAGGCATGGCCATCCATGCCCGATGCATCCTCTTATACTGTTGAAACTAGACTTCCTAAGGAACAACCGAAGGAAATAGCTTTGAAATATATTTTGCTTCAGACTGATATGTGAATAACTGTAAAAGTTTAGTTCTTTCAGTTGCCTGCCATACTGTTATCGAAGTTTTCTAAGACTAGGGTTTTTTTTTTGGTGATCTCAGACTACTGTTGTAACTACAAGACGGGTTTTAGAAAGACTTGCCGTCCATCATATTTCACAGAGGATGGCATGGAAACTTTTAAAAGGTACTTCTCTCCATGATGTGACTGCTGTGATATTCTTACCATTAACCTGGCAAATGTTAAGCTACTGAAATTAAGTATTAACTGAAGTGAGATACTTCTGGTTTCTCTTATGAGGAATATTGGAATAGTAACTTTAACTTCCCTAGCTACCCATGTTTTTTCATAATATATTCTGATTAACTGATGAAGTTCATCAACATTTCAGATGTTCCTAAATCAGCCATGCGCAAGGCTGAAAGAGGAATGCCCACTTCGGTTTACTTCTTCAGAGTTTGCAGATCAACTTTCAGAGGTTCAAATTCATTATGCATACATTTGCTCTTTCAACCTGACCTTTTTTTTCTTTTCCGTTGCTTTTTATAATTTCCTTGCCTCCTTTCTCTATGTCTAAGCAGGACACTTTTTAGGAGTTGCAGCATCATGGCTTGTCCAAGTTGGTATTGAAATTTACCGATTCTTCTCTCATTTAACAAAGCCTGAAGAAGAAAGCAATAATGTAGATAAATCTGAGCAAGTTAAAATTCTTGGGAAGAAGGTTACTGGAGTCACTGTCAGGTGTAGTGCATCGCTAGTTTTTGCTTCCATTGGTGCAGGGGTTGGTGCCACCCTCTTTCGTCCTTCAAGGGGTCAGTGGATTGGTAAGCAAGCTTGCTCAGTCCAATTTATTTTCTGGGTACCATGACATATCATCATATGATTCCCTTGATCTTATTAACAAAGTTTGCATGCAGGTTGTGTTGTTGGGGATTTGGCTGGTCCAATCATCGTTTCTATTTGCCTGGAAAAAGTTCTTCACACTGACCTTTAGGGCGCTGAGGATAAATTGTTATGATGTATTTCTTGCACCCTGCTCTAAATTTGATTAGTTTCTAACTTTTTCTTTTTCAATCTGATTATTATATTTCCATCACTCCCCTGGAAGCTAGATGATACGGCATTTTTTTTTTTTAGCAAAAAGCTACTACTTGAAAGCTGTTGATCAGAATTCTCCCTTTGAGGCCACTCTCATTTCTTCTTTATGCTATTGGATTTCTAATTGTTGGTTCTGTTCTTGAGACGTAGAGTTAGCATTTTTTTTTCTCGCCTCTACTTGTGCTGTTAAATCATGCATGCCGTAGTTAACTTCCACAATAATGTTAGTACTAAATCCCTGTATTAGATTATGAATATATTCCTGTATCATTATACATTGAAGAGTGGATCTACACCACCAAAAACCTTTAATGATGTTTCTACCTCGTAGTTTTCTAACTAATAGCTTGAGATCTGGAGCGTGTATTCTTTCAGCTATGCTCTGCACTCACGTGAAGCATAAAACAGCAGTCTACCAGCAGACTGCAGCAAACATCCAAATAGCCATCTTCTGTACTTTGTTTTCAGTCCCATATCATCACAACAGCAATCACCCCAACACCCAACGATACAGCCAAGAATTTGTACTGCGGTGTATCAACTAAAACTGCCCTCTGGGATATGTAACCCTTGGATAAAAGATGGTTAATCGATACGTAGATGAACACACCGCATGCCAGTCCCATTGATATGGCGAAGATCCAGTCAGCCACAGGACCCTGAGTTGTGGCATCTATTACGATACCAATGGCCACACCAACTGGACTTGAAATGCCAAATGCGAAAGCATAGGCAGCACACGATACAAAGGGGCGATCTGGGATCATTCGAAGGAGAGCTATACCCATTGCGATTGCTGCAAATATCTTATGCAAAGAGATAGTCCACAAGGCTCGCCAAGCATCAGCTTTCGTCTCTGCTACTCCTATTGCGATGCCCTCAAAGACGGAGTGGAAACACAAGGCAACTATCAACAAAATGCTGTCCCCAAATGAACTGACAGTTGCAAGTGTGGATTTTGCAGAGGCAGCATCTGTACCATTGTGCATCTTTTAAACCACAATTCCATCAAAAGAAATATTAGTAAAAGTAATGAAGTTTTGTGCATATATTAAAACACTAGATGAAGACGCATAGATATTTGTTAGCTTCGACTAAAGCTGTGAGTATCAGATGTATAATTTCCACCTGAAAACGTGATCGTGAACTGCTGTCGTGGCTTCTTTTTCCACGCTGAACACTCCCTGTAAAAAAAATAAAAAATAAAAAAAATGTATCAATCTCAAAGTACGTAGCCAAGAGACAGTTTAGATCACCAGATTTTGGACATTTTGGCAGATATATGGTCATCTGATTATTGTTTCTTCTCGACAAGGTTGTTGGAGCATGCCAATCACATAATTTGTGAAAAAAAGTCAATAAAATTGTGAGGTAGTTTTTCATATTTTGGTGCTACAGGTTAACAATTGCAATCAGATTCAACAAAACAAAGAAGAATTCAAAAGCCCATTGGCCTGTATTCTTCGTTTGACACCACACCTGCCTTCTTCCTAAAAATCCCATTGCAGTGTTAGATCACCGCAAGAACGGAGTCTAGTAGAAGAAAATTCGTCATTTTTCATCAATATCATTGCAAGGAAAGATAATATATCTACAAACAAGCAATTTCAAAATAAACGAAAACACAAAACACAAAGGGATTTATATCAGTTGATAATCTTCACAAGGACATGTTAAAAAATGGGGACTATAATTTTTGACTTAACAAAACATGGAATGCATGAAGATATTGTTGAAATTAGACTTACCTTGCTGCTCTACATCACCACCATTAGCCTGGCTGACCACATCTTTGCCATAAACATAAGAAATGATACAATCAGCAAGCATGGTCAACAAATAGCCAGCACAGGCCAACATGAAAGCAAAAGGGTACTCTTTGCTTGTCAAATCCTCAAAGGTCTCGTTTGCATCGCTCAAAAAGTGCATCAAAGCAGTCCCCAAAAACACACCACCAGCAAACTGAGTTCCTAACACCAAGAACCCCTCGTTCCACTTCAAAAAATAGGGGGACACCCCACCAATGAAAGTGCCAATAAAGATCAATATCAAGCACCATATCTTAACCAAGATTAAGGATTTCGAACGGAGATTAATTATTGGACTGCCACCATCGGCAGCATCGTGGTGGCCATTGTGCCCGGTTGTTAGAAGGAGGAGAGATAAGAAGAGAGAAAGGAAGAAGAGAGAACGAGACATAGCGCCAAGAAGTAATGGGAAAGCTCTAAAAAGTAGGACAGACTATTGAAAGATTAGCATTGGTTAAGAAAGAAAATGGCAACTAAAATATACAAGGTTATGTAGGACAAGTGGGAAACAGATGGTTTTGTAAGCTTGTACTGCGAAGAAAATAATGAATCAACTTGTACTGTTGTATTGCAGATTACAGAGTAGTACAAAACAGGTCATTGGTATCCGTTTTTCCCGAGAAAATTCCGTGAGTTTAAGTGCTTAGTAAATTATACATCAGTCCCTTTATTTTTTTATAAACGAATTAGTTAGTCCTCTTTGTTTGAAAAACCCAATTTTTTTTTTACTTCATTAACTAATGTTTACTACACTTAATTTAATATTACTCTATTACATAAAATGTCATCTTTTTTTTTAATATATATATATATATATGTTTTTTCTCTCTTTTTATTTATTAAAACAAAAAGGTTAGAATAAATTGAAAATTAGTAAAAATGACTAATTTATAAGAAAATTAAGAATACATAAGTTAAATAATTAATTTTTAAAATAAAAAAACTAATCAATTCATTTCTTAAGGAAATAATTTATAATTTACTCTTTAAATGCTCGAACCCCTTGAAAAGTCCAACTCCATTTTTTACTCAACCTCGCTAGCTAGTACGTAGTTTAATGATTGGAAAAGTCTGGGGTCTTTATGGGTCCGAAAAGAAAAAGAAAACCATGTTTGATGTGGTGCCAGTTTTTCCACTGAAGAATATGATTCATATTCGTTCATATCTTCCCATAAGAAAAATCCAGTTTCTCTCACCGATATTTATCCATTGGTTCAATGTATTTCTTGAAGTTTCAATATTGAATCAGCTAACAAAATTTTATTTTTTCAATCTCCAAATTTTTAAAATCAAATGCAACCTTTTACAAATAATTTGACGAGATAAAGTCTTATAATTTCAATAAGATCTAATTGATGTCAAGTAAATCATTTTTTATTTAAAAACATAAACACAAAAATCATAAAAAATGATAGAATACATATCAAACTAAAAATATGCAAAAAAGATAAAAATAAATAAACTATAGAACTCATTAAAAATAAATAAATAATTATTCTATTTTTTTCTTTGGACGTGTCAAACACTCATTGTGTTCGAATCTCTTGTTGTCTTCCTAATTTAATCTTTTTCTTTTTTAATTTTTTAATTATTTTATTTTATTTTATTTTTTCAATATAAAACATATTTAAAAAAATAATTTTGTATCTTATATTTTTAAATGTATGCATAGTATTATCAAGATTTTTTAATAAGAGTAGAAGATTTGCTCTCGGTATATTATTTTAAGAGAATTTGATCAAATTTTAAAAGTTTAAAGACTTTAAAAAATAATTTCTCTTATTTTTTGATAACTTTAAGGGGACACCGATATGTGAATTTCAAGAAAGATACCGAAACAATCGAAATCTCAAAGGAAGAAATTGGATTCTCCTTGAACCTCAAGAGGATAAATTAAAATTAACCCTTAGTTTCTTACTAGTTTGAAGGCCCGTGCGGTCTTGCGAGTTCAATAAAAAGCTTTTAAAGTTTTTTAAAGTTAAAACATTTCGGAATTCAAATCTAAGCCAAATAAAATCCGAACTCGGTTTGATCGGAGTTGAATGCGGAGGCGGATGACGAGTTCATTCGTCCCCAACCTAGCTTTTTAACTTTTATTTTATGGAGTTATAATTTTATATTTCAATATAATGCATAAAGTTTTATCTTATAATTTATAAAATATTTTTATGATTTTATGCATAGATTTGAAATTTTCACTCTATTTTATGGTCATAGGGATATAATTTGTTTTTTAAGGTTCAATTTTATTTTTATAAAATTGATTTTTTTGTGGATTATTATTATTATTATTATTATTTTGGTGCCAGTCTCAATTAAGAGGGCTTTGAAACAAGAATTATAAGATGGTTAGAAGATAGTTTGCAAGTAGAGGTGTTCACTATTCGATGAAAACCGAAAAATCTAACCGAACCGAGCCGTATCGAAATATCAATTTCGGTACGATTTTTTTCAGAAATTAAAAAAAAAACCGAACCGATATATAATCAGTTTTTTGTTTCGGTTTTGGTTTTTTTTAAAAAAATCGGTTAACCGAATAACCGAATTATTAATTTTTTTTTTAAATTCATGAGTGAAATGACGTCGTTTCACTCCTTTTTGAATTCACGAACCTAAAATCACAAGTTCCTCTTTGTCAGTTCATCTTCCTTGTTCCTAAAATTAATTTTTTTTTTTACTTTTTTTTATTTCTTAAAAAAAAAATCAAAATAAATTGTAAAAATATAGAGACTAAATTTGTTTCTCAAAACTAGAGGGATTAATTTATCATTTATTTTATAAAACTTCAAGAGTTGAAAATATTCTTCAACAAATGAATTAAATTTAAACATTGACCATACAATATTTTATGTGGACCAATTTAATTATAAAATATTTTATCGAAACAAATATAAGAAAATAAAAAAAATCTTGAGTATTAATTACGAGTGAAAATTGAATTACCAAATAAAAAAGCTGGTATATTTTGAAATCAAACCGAAAAACCGAATAATAATATGGTTTAGTTTTAGTTATTTTTTGGATAATTCGGTTAATCGAAAACCGATAAAAAAATTTCAAAACCGAACCGAATTACCGAACGAACACCCCTATCCGCAAGGTAGTCTATCTTCCAAATTCCGAATTAGACGATTAAAATTATTAAGCAAGATTATCCTACTTTTAATCCTAAAGGTACTTGAAATCTTAAATAAAAAATAGCTATTACCCACACTAGAATGCAATAACCTAAGAATCCTTTAGAAGAAGTTCTAGACGGCCTATATCTAGGTTGCTAGATTGGAATTCGAGTGTATGACAAATTTAATAAATGAAAACTAATATTTAAACGAGTTATGTAATTAACTTTAACTAACTATTCTAAAATTAACAACACGTATGCAAATTATATATTGCAAAATTGAACCGAAATTGATAGATACTAAATCAAGAGTCCTTACAAATGCCAATAACTCGAAAATATAAGAACTTATAGACATGAGAACCGATGAACATTGAGAGATGGGATTTGCGTGTGTTATAACAAAAGTGGCAATTGAATAGAGATGATCTATTAGCCTACTATTATTGTCTACTCGTTATTGCCTATTGTTACTACCCACTAATTACAATATACTTGATTACTACCCACAAACTATAGCTCACCGTATTTCAAATATTGAAACGATTTGAAAGATGATGTTGATAATTTGCAACAATATTATTGTTGTGTGTTGATTTTCCGATTCCAATTTGTATTTATAACATTCTTATTCTTTTTTATTGGCCACGTTCTTAGGTTGCAACACTTTATAACTTCGACCTTGGGTTGCAATGCTCCATATTTGCTTTGAGTTGCAATCTCTCACGTCTTCGATATTTTTATACATTCATTACAACATTCTCATATCCTTCTTATTTTTGGTTCCAATCATTTAAATCAATTATCTTTTTGTTGGGCTTTTCTTTTGAATAGGGTTTGTCTTTCCACATCCTTTCGTCGATCATACAACCGTATTAAATCTTTATGTCTATGAAGTGTAAAACTCTTTTGGGCCTCTTTTCTAGATAGACTTGTCTTATGAACTTAGCTCTAGCGTACTAGCAGACTTTTAAGAGCCTATAATGTGGGTTTGGTGATCAAAGTCTCATTAGGCCTTAATTAATTTGTTAGGTTGTCGGACCTCAATCAAATTTAGGTATAATATCTATCCTCTTTATTTTTTCTTGTGAAATCATTTCTCACATGTGAAAGGATATGAGAATGTTGTAATGAAACAAAAATAATGATAAGATGGTTGGAAGATCGTTTGCATGGTTAGAAGATCGTTTGTAGGGTAGTCTATCTTCCAAACTCGAATTAGATGATTAAAATTATTAAGCGAGGTTATCCTACCGTTAATCCTAAAGGTGTTTGAACTCTTAAATAAAAAATAACTATTACCCACACTAGAATGCAATAACCTAAGAATCCTTTAGAAGAAGTTTCTAGGTTACTAGATTGGAATTCGAGCGTATGACAAATTTAATAACTGGAAACTAATATTTAAATAATTATGTAATTAACTTTAACTAACTATTCTAAAATTAACAACAAGTATGCAAAGTATAGATTGTAAAATTGAACTAAAATTGATAGATACTGAATCAAGAGTCTTTACAAATGCTAGTGACTTTAGAAATATAAGAACTTAAAGGCATGATAACCGATGAACGGACACCAATTGAAACTCTAAATGCCGAGAGACGAGATATACGTGTGTTGTAATAAAAGTGGCAATTAAATAGAGATGATCTATCAACCTACTATTATTGTCTATTGTTATTGCCTACTATTGCTACTCACTAATTATAATCTACTTGATTATTATCTATAAACTATAGCTTATTGTATTTCGGGTATTGAAATGATTTGAAGGATGATGTTGATGATTTGTAATAATATTATTGTTGTGTGTTGATTTTTCTGATTGCAATTGATATTTATAACATTCTTATTCTTCTTTACTGACCATGTTTTTAGGTTGTAACACTTTATAACTTCCTACCTTGGCTTCAATGCTCCATATTTGCCTTGAGTTGCAATCTCTCACGTCTTTTGATATTTTCATGCATTCGTTACAACATTCTCATATCCTTTTTATTTTTTGTTCCAATCACTTAAATCAATTATCTTCTTGTTAAGCTTTTCTTTTGAATAGGATTTGACTTTCCACATCCTTTGCCCATGATACAACCGTATTAGATCTTTATGTTTATCAAGTATAAAACTCCTTTGGGCCTCTTTTCTAAATAAGCTTGTTTTATGAACTTAGCTCTAGCTTACTAGCAAATTTTAAGAGCCTATATCATGGGTTTGATGATCAAAGTCAGTAGGCCTTAATTAATTTGTTGGGCTGTCATACCTCAATC